ACCCCCCCCCCTTCGAAAACGCTGATCTGTGTTAAGTTGACCCCCCCCCCCCCTCAACACACACACACACATATTCACACTCTCACACACACACACACCCTCACACACACACACACACACGAAATAGGTTTTTTTATGCTTTCAAGTTTACTTTTTTTTGTTTGTCAAGAAATTTCTGGGTTGGATTTTTTTGGGGGACTGAGATGGATCCCCCCCCCCCCCCGGAAAAAAATCCTGGATCCGTGTCTGTTCTTGTTTATAATTTTCAAGTTTTATTTTATTTTCTTTATTCTATTATGGCAATTTTGCTTCCTTTCGCATTTTGATTCTATCTTAAAATTTCAATTATGTTTCACTTTAGCTAACTTAATACTTTTTTGGTAACAACTATAAGCAAAATTGAAAGTTTGTTTTAGAAGTAGAACTAACAGAGTTAAACTAAGAAATCCGAATAAAATTTAAACGAAAAGGGGCGCTACGGCCTTTTATGTACAGGTACACAGAGATCTTGGCGAACAGTCTAGCTATGAAACGTAGAAACATTTCCCTGGAACATTTTTTTTTTCATTTTAAAAACCATATGATATTCTTGCGTGTTTTCTCTCGTTTTTAGGCCCGTAGAAGCATTTTAATTGGGTGGGGTGGGGGTGGGGGTGGAGCAGTGGGCACAAAACAAAAATTTCTTGATAAGCCCCCCCCCCCCCCGAAAAAAAAACAAAAAAAACGAGACATTCCTGTTGAGAGGACACAACGTTAAATTTGCCTTATTTCTTATGTATTTACCGACAAAATTATTTTGGGGGCACAATCGGAAATTGCTTTTTTTATTGGTATAGTATATACTGGCACCCTCACCCCACTTGCTACCTACGGACCTGGTTCGGGGCCATAAAACTTAGATGAGCTCACTTTTGATCCCAGTCTCTCTTTTCTACATACTATATATTAATTCCTTTGGTAAACGTGAGACTGTGATCAAAAGTGAACTCGTTTAAGTTTTATGGCCCTGGTGCAAGATGTTTCAAATATGATAAATATGACCGCCATTTTTGATTGCCCGCTTATGGTACACAAATATCAGGTATCTTTAAATTGATATTGTTATCACATTATTTTTTACAGTAGGACAGAGAAATTTTTTTCACTAACAAATCTCAGGGCCGAAGTAGGAGGGAGCGAAAGGTTGGGCTCCCAACTTTTTTGTGTGGAGAATAATCTTTTGCAGCTGTTTTAATATGAAAATTCATTTATAGGCTCTATGTCCCCCTCTCTCCCCCCCCCCCCCCTTTTATCATGCAGTATCATCGAACTCTAGCAAATTCTTGCGTTGAAAAAAAAGTTACTGAAAAATTAAAGAAAGATATCCTAAACATTGCCTCCCACGAAGGAGGAGTTTTGGCAGTTTATTTATTTTTCCATTGTCAATTTTTTGGACCCCCCCCCCTTTTCGATAAACATTGATACGGATCAACATCTACTGAGTGGTTGTTGTTTTTTTTAATAATATGATATTATTGCAGTTACATTAGTTCTTAATAAACTGAGGCAATGATCACAGTAGCCTAGGGCTCTAGCTTCGTGGGCCATGGGAAGGTAAGAGTTCGCTTGTCCTAAGTTCCTAGTGCCGGCCGGCAAAATGTAAGACGTTTAACATACGTGTTGGTAATGACTATTCCTTCGGCATTGAAAGTCGAACGATTTTTCGGTTGAGACCTTAAAAACCGAAGCCCCTCTAGATCCGCGCAAGCCGTGAATAAGCGGGTAATGATTCATGTCACATCGTCAAATAAAATAAGATTAAGAAGATAAAATAAACTTAAAACATATAAACAAAAAGTTAGAATTATTAAAATTAAATAAGAAATTCAAATGAAAATTTAGAATAAAAAAAGAAATAAATCTAGATAATTAATTTCAGTTGGAAAAAGAAGTTAGAAAAAAAAGGGGGAAATGTGGCACTGATGCCCCTCCATAATTTCTCATAATCATGTAGACTTTAATTGTCTTTGTGTTTTATTTAGAGCACGGAAATATAAATTCCGGAAAACCAAGTTTACACACATTCATAGTATAAACTCAAAGTCAACACAGTTGTATGTTCGAAACTACATGCTAGGATGTCTGAATTACCTACTTACATATGTAGACTATGAAACTGATACGATTACAAGTTTGGATTTACAAACTTACAAGTCTGGATTTCCAAACTTACAAGTCTGGATTTTTGAACACGATTACCCTCCATAGTCATGATAGTGGACATGGTATTTCCATGTAGTTCTTTTATTTAAAATAAATTGAAAACTTATTACTCAATTTTTAATCAACTTATTCCTTTATAGCATTTTTATGGGTCAAGATAAATAAATTGAGCGCCTTATCTGAATGCATTGCCCCACTTTCAGTAAGTAAAAACGGTGATTTATGTTCCTCGTGCAATACTTTAATTGTCGTCTTTGAGGATTTTTCTAGGGGGGTAAATGCCAGGTATCCAATTTTAATTATAGATTAAAGCTCAATATTTATTTAATATAATTTTGTGAATGTCAAAACAAAACCAAAAAAAAACAAACTTTTAGACAGTGCATGCTAGACTACTATGGATCTTCAAATATTCCTTTAAACCTTTGTATAATATATAGTTTATGTAGTATTTACCCCACGTAATATTGTTGGTTATGTGCAGATACCCGATGGGCGTGGTCATAATGAAACAAGGGAGCCTAGCTCCCGATTTTTCATTATGACCATGACCATCGAGTATCTGTACATTTTTTTTTAAAAAACTGAATTTCTTTATTTTCCTGTTATTTTTTACCTATGCTCTTCGTGCATGGTGGCACTGGCACATATAGGGTCATCTTTTTTATAATGATTTAAAAAAATAAAAATATAAAGGAATTTGTATTTTTAGAAAAGATGCAATGAAACTCAATTATTCAACATGTACGCTTTTAATTTTATATACCAAATGTTCTTGGTTGGTTATAAATAAAACGGTATTGAAATCATTTAGTAAGAAATACGAACGATATCTATACCAATTGCAATACTAAGGTAATGGCTGACTGGCCATGAGAAAATTTTTAAAGAAAGATAAAAAAATAATCTATTTATTTATTTATTTTTTGCTCTTGAATTTGGTGTATCTATAGTCCGGATGATCTGATGATTGATCGTTTTAAAAAATGTGACTTATATTAGGTCTTTGCTCTTTTGTCCTGGCTTGATGGACGGAGTTCATAGAAAAGTGTTAGTTATGTACAGATAACCCACACTTTTAACAAAAGAAATCACATCAAACTATGGTTCAAATTTATATATACATATATATGAACGTTGATTGTGAGGGTCAGTTTGCTACGGAAGCAATAGTCATGATTTTGGCAAGAGTTATTTCCCGTTGGTCGCCATAATGGAGTATACGAGCCCGAATTCCATTATTATTCAACCAATTTAAACTTGTCAAACTGGGCAAATGGCTGAAGATAAACATTTCTTCTTACGAATTTATGTTAACACAAGCTTCCTTTCATTCATATAATTTTAGTATTTTTAAAGATTTTTGCCCTTATACTTCTGTCAAACAAATTTACGATTGAACTGAAGTCCTTTCTCGTAGTAATCAACTGGAGCATTATCGTAAGGTGAAGCTTATCTCATTATCACACATTTCACAGAGGACATAGTTGAACAAGACATAATCGTGGTAAAAACGCTTCAAGATTACATTTTCCGAGTACGGGAAAAACAACTGTGATATCACACGAAAACTTACACAAGCGAAATGCGAAATGTGGGGAAAAAAATAGCCTTGTTTCATTCGCAGCTGTAGCATATATAAAATTATTTTTTAGTAGTTTTGCAAATTTTCGTTTTTTATTCATCAGTTTTACCACAGTGACTGTAATTTTTATTCGGAAAATCTTAAGGATTTGTTCATATCTTACACTCTCCCAGGACGGGGAGTACCTATTGTAAACCTTTTTTATGAAATCAAAAATTAATAATTATCTGAAGGAGAATGAAAATTGAAATAATACATAATAACAATATTTTAGACTTTTATTTAGAGTAAGTTTTTAAAATATATTTTACTCTAATTTTCATACATGTTATCATCGAATTAATTTACCGAGCTAAAAAAGAAATAATACCTCATTTACCCATGATCACTTTCTAACACAACCACAAATAGCATTTATTATCGGCCACAGAACTGTGGCCGATAATAAAACCGGTTTTATCATATACTTAGTAGTAAACACAGCGATTCTGCACTGTGCGATACCGATGACGTCACTATACCCCATATCAAGGATGCGTCCGAAAATCCATATTACGTTTCGGACCGGCGGGCAAAAATCCATATCAAACAGGAAGTAACGTTTGTTTAAAGTTTTAAAGTTAATTAACTTGATTTTATTTAAATATAATATACATGTAAAATAATTCTTTACTAACATCTGTGGACTTAATTTGTTTTTAAAGACTTAAAATTTGCTTTATTAGATTTTAAAGAAAAAGGTCATAAACATGCACGAAACATTCTTCAATGATTTTTATGTGAACTCGCATGTTAAGTATTTTAAATATATGATAAATAGAATACTACATACTGAAATCCATATCATATGTCATATCAGCCCTCGGCCCTCGGGCTGATATGGAGCCACTTGGGCTGATATGACATACATGTATGATTTGGATTTTAGCATGTAATTATGTGCAATATTCTCTATTTATATGTCTCTGATATAAACACACAATAACTGATATTCATATTCCTACACCATACGTTTTAGGTGTAAGTATACGATTTTTCCATAAATAATTGTTGTACATCATATATGCCTACTGGAGCTAGATCAGAATTTAGTGTCTGCCACTTTTAAATAATTCGGGAAAATAATTTCCAGCCAACCAATTTCGTAAATCTATGTAGCGTGATTTGTTTCCTGTATGAAATGAATGCCGTAGACGACCTCACGCTGTGAACACGATGACTTCGAAAAGAAAGTTGGAAGAAAACTTAGATGGCAACAAAGTGTCATCGAAAAAGTCTGTGCCATTTTGGAAGACGGGTCTTCTTTCTTCAATGCATGATCCAGAACTACAGGTTTACAAGGATGACAAACTGATAATTATTAAAGATAAATATCCCAAGGTGTGTGCACATCCATGTAAAATCTCATTAATAGCGAGCGGCGCGAAGCGCCGCTCGTCACTGCGAGCTCTTAAAGCAACGCCTGGGCGAAGAGAAAATTCGGACTTTACACATTGATCCAAATGAATTTTTTTCCGCAGTTACCTGTGGTCCCATAATGCTTAGCGAATTGCATCTCGCCGCAAACTACGTTCTCGCGGTAGCAACAAAAATTCGACAAAAAATAAACTCACCTCGATTTAATGACTATATAGCAGACAAATAGTAGATCTAACGTTCTTGATTAAAATTAGCACTGTTCAGACTTCGTTTTGATAATGCAGCAAACATACGACGTCATATGACGTCAGAGTCTAGACGTAGCAAATGTCACGTGCAGTTTGACGAGCCCGATCTAAATTAAAACTGAAAGGTATCTGCGCTCGCTCTAACGGTTGCACCGTCAACATATTATCTATCTATCTATCTATCCGAAGTTGTTCTTTGAACCCAACCTCTCTGTCAAAGCTCGTTTTACACAATTTTTGCACAGGGGCCTGCTCCTGGCATGTAATAATTATTTACTAAAAAATCATAGACGGTAATACTAAAACAACACAAGGGAGGACGCCATTTTGGACCCCTTCCTCGCTTCAACCTCTGTTTTCGTTATATTTTCCCGTATTTTACTGACTCACCGCCTCGGGTCTGTCAAGTAATGATTCTTCAAGGACATAATGCTCGAATTTTCCCCTTGGAGTGTCTACAATAAACATTTCAGACTAATAATAATCCAAACGCGCTCTTTAGGACAGTTAATAAGGACAGAAAACGAAAGTAACCTTGTTGTTTTACATTCGAATATGGAATTAGAATGCGGTTTTTTCAAATTTATAATTAGCAGCTGTTTTAACTAATAGAAAAACCCCGAGATTTTCGAATGTGTTTTCGTTTTCTGTCCCTATCAACTAAAGAGCGAGTTTGGATTATTATTAGTCTGAAATGTGTATTGTAGAGGCTCCAAGGGGAAAATTCAAGCATTATGTCCTAGAAGAATCATTACTTGACAGACCCAGGGCGATGAGTCAGTAAAATACGGGAAACTATAATGAAAACAGAGGTTGAAGCGAGGAAGGGGTCCAAAATGGCGTCCTCCCTTGTGTTGTTTTAGTATTACCGTGTATGATTTTTTAATAAATAATTATTACACGCCGGGAGCAAGCCCCTGTGATTCTTGTGATAGTTTTAAACGGTGAAAATATTAAGTAGAAATCATAATAAATTACTGTAATTCTTAAAAAACTTAAGATGATAATTTATAGATGGTTTTCCTATGCCGTATTTTTCCTCGGTGTTATTCCCCTTGGCCGCCATCTTGTAGGTCAAACTAGTGAATTTTCCTCTTTGAGCAACCAATTTTAAAAATCTATGCCAAAAATATATAGGAAAAAATATTTACAATATTAAAATTATGAATTAAAAGAAGCTTCAACAAACATATATTCAGAAGAAAAACTGTGTTATCTTCACCTAAGTGCCCAGTATGACAAATTGAACTTGGTTGAATAATGAAGGGATCTGGGGATGTTGACCTACAATATGGCAGCCATGGGAAATAACTTGCTTTGGCACCTTGATGGAAAACCATCTATTTCAAAACTATCCTCCTCTAAAAGGATTTATTTTCTTGTTTATTTAAAGAGCCTATTTAATGGAGTAAAAATTAAAACCTTGTATAATTTAAATCCGTTAAGGGAGAGTAAATTAAAATAAGTCCTTTTTAGAATAATTTGATTGAAAACAATTCTTAATAAAATTTTCAACAATTTACAATTTTTCCAAGAATATTTATGTGTAGATTACCAAGCTTTGACAGTCTGAGGTGTATGTGGAAGCATAGCTGGAATGACAACTCTGGATAGAGAATCTAAAAACAAGGGCTTGTTCCGAAATATAAATTAAAACTTCTGTTGTTCAAGTAGTGGGCCTGTGCTTTTAAATTTTACGAGGGGTTTTCAAAATTTTGATGAATCTGGTAAAACCATTAAGTTAATGTATAAAGTCCCAGTCTAATGCAGAAATGCCCAAATTAGAGGGGAGATTCAGAATAATTTTGCGTCAGCCATCAAACCTCGATCAGCTAAATATTAGTATGAAAATGACACTTTTATTATTATTAAATCAAAAATTTGTTACCATGTCATTTAACTAACCAGGTATTAATCTACTAGGTTTTGGGGGAAGCTGCACTTTCTGGAGAAATTGGGAATATCAGCCTGGGGTCTGGGGTCCACTCCAAACCCTCAGCGGGTGCAGGGCAAGCCTTGCTGGGGAGCCCAATTGAATTTTTAGCATTTTCATGCCCATTTAGAGTGAAAAAAATAAAGTAAAGCCATATTTCACACCTTCCGAAAAAAAATTTTATTTTAATTTTTCCAGTTTATTTCAAGGAAAAAAAATTTGAGCTTATTATTACTGTAAGGGGAATTTTTTACTCATCAAAAATGGGAAATGGGATATTCAGGGGAAACTTTCTCCTATGGAAAAATACAGAATGTTGGTAGTAACTATGCCCTAGATTAATTCCTGCTAACATGTAATGTTATATATAAGGCTTTGTAATGTAATATTATATTTTGATCGGATATAATGCATGTGAGTGAAAGTTAACATTTAAGTTTTATTGAAAATAAGCAAATGAAAAAATGTTGAGATTAGTTGAAATGGGTATTTTTGTTTTATTTTCCTATCAACTCATTTTATTATAAGTGATGAATTTCTGTTTTATCAAGTAACTAAAAGTATATTAATTGATTATTGTTTGAAAAAGGAAAAATTCCTATCACCTCTGCTTATATCTTGTTCTGTAGTTTTTGCTTTTATTCTTTCTTTTTCATAAATTTTTGCACTTTATGTATACCAATTTTGTTTTGTTCACAGGCAAAATACCATTTTTTGGTGATGCCAAAAGAAAACATTCCTAACTTGAAAAGTTTAAAGAAAGAAAATATTGATCTGCTAAAGCACATGCATGAGAAAGGAAAGGAAATGGCTGAAAAGTGAGTTTAAAATTGATATACTGGAATCGATATCATTTTAATTTGTGGTTGTCAATGTTCATGGGTAATCAAAATTTTACTGGTTTGTGAGGACACAATTTCTTTGGTAAGTTATATAAGGGAGATTCACTTAAATGATAGGTTGACAAAGCAATTGTTTATGGGGATGTAAGGATGGTATTGCCATGGGTACTAAAATATGAATTTCTATGATTTTTTTTTTTCAAAGTGCTACTCCTTTACAGGTTTGGTCTGATTTCAATAAAACTAATACACAAATGGATTACATTCACATACATAATCCTGCATATTGATTTTGATGAATGGTGTTGCCATGGTTACTAAAAAAATTATAAATTTCAGTGAATTTCTTATAAAACATACTCATTGTATACTTTTGGTAGAATTTTAGGAAGACATGATGTACACAAGTACATGTAGATTACTCTAAGATACATTATTCTATTTATTAATTTTTTATTTCAACATACGATTTTGCCAGAGTTGACTAAATAATAGAAATTTCTTTGAAATTTTTTCAAAAGGCTACTCCTCCTATAGTTGTTATCCAATTGCAATGAAACTTGTGACAGAAGAGTCTAAACCAAGGATCATTATTCTATTTATTGCTACTCAAGCTGTAAATGAATTATATAAACCATATTTTTCACACGTTTACTCCTTTGTTCACAGGATATAGCTCAAAGAATATCTTTTTCATATCCATGCATGGTTGTGACATCACAGTGGTTTTTGCATGAATTTACTGTCAGATATTGTAGATTTACATATATAAAACAGTGTTACACATGAAATAGCTAGATGTAAAATGTGATAAAAAATATCTCCCTCATTGTGTGTTTTATTCCCCTCGCCAAGGCTTGGGGACAAAAATGCCTAACTTGTTGGATAAAAAATCTTATCCAAAGAAAGCCCATTGGAGATCCTATATGTATTTACTGGATACAACTTAAGGACATAACTTCTCTAGAGCTACTTATAAGAAACAGATATTTTGTATATTGTTAAAAGAAACAATGTCCATTTTTAAAGAATGTATTTTAAAAAGATTCTAATCCCCTGTACAAATTGCGGAAAAAGTTTATTACGAACTCATCAAAATAAAACCTAATTTTTTTTCAATTATGTAGGGAATATCTGATTCATTTAAATGTTACTAAATTGTGCGAACTTTAAGAGTAAATACCTTTAACAGATATGTGAGGGGACTCTTTTAAATGTGACATTATCAGATTTTTTTGCAGCTTGGAATGTTAAAAATATGTTCTATCTTTATCCTGTGTTGTCATGCACTTAAATACTCTGATATGTCATGAAGGGGCACTTCAGTTGTCACTGCTATTCTGAAATAGCTCTGAAATAATAAAGTTTGTTTAAGTAACAAGGACGTTTGTTTAACAGGAACATATCAAGCTTATGCAATGTTTGTGTAATATCCTTCCACTGTATATGTAATCTTAAGATGTTCCATGTTTTCTGATTTATGAATTATTACAGCATGTGTATACAGCAATGGTCAAAACTTCGGTTAATTGATTTCCTAAGTCTACAGAAATATACAGAATTGAATATGCAGGTTTTATTCGCAGCTGCAACAAATGAATGCATTAAACTGTCACTGTATCCAGGTTCTCACTTTCAGATCATTCAGCAAATTAAACATACACATACAAACAGTTAGAAAGGCTGGGTAGACCTAATTTTATTTGTAATAATAGTAATTTACTGATTTTATGAATTTGTGAAAATGAAGTTAAAGCCGCATTTTGTATAATATAGATACTGTAAAAAAAAAAACCCAAAATATCTTCTAAATTACTGAATCAGATGTGAATTGCCAGTTTTATCTGTTATACTAAAAATAATGATTTATATTACTGATTGGTTGTAGGTCAGACGCAGATTTGAAGTTTCGTTTAGGATACCATGCTGTTCCAAGTATGAGGTAAGTTATAAAATAAATTAGCAGCAGAACTGTAGCTCTCTGGAACAAAAAATAAGGACAGACATGTCTGTCTGAATTTACTCTCCCAGAGAGCTTCAGGTCTACAGCTGAAATATGTGTCACTGTCAGAGTATTCTTTTATATGTTAGTGTATTTGAAATGCATTAATTTTATGGTACTAATAATGATCAATTCAAAAATTAAACATATTCATATGTCTTAATCTCTTTATCATTATTTTATATGAACTAGTGATATACATATAGGATCTCCCATGATTTGTAGTTGGATATGATTTTTATCCAACGAGTTGTGTGTTTTTTATCCCCGAGCCTTGGCGAGGGGATAAAAACACACAACGAGTTGGATAAAAGTCATAACCAACTACAAATCATGGGAGATTCTTTTTATCCCTTGTTTAATACTTCACAACCAATGTTTTACACTGTTTTATATAGGACTCCACTTTATTTTACTTCAATACGCTAACGCAAAAACCATTGTGACGTCACAACTGCACTTAACTGTGGATTATGAAAAATTTATCCAATGAGTCATATCCACGGGATAAAGGGGTAAACATGGGATAAATGTAAATTATCTTTATAATATATTCATTGTGAAATACTGAATTTTAATGTAATTCAATACATGTACTATGACCTGTGAAGAGACTATGACATTAATGCCTGCTGTTTACAAACTATTTTCATATTTAATGGGTGAATTTTGTCTAAATCCTGAAATTATTCTTGATCATTTATTCTCCATGCAATGTTTTTGTAAATTCTTGACGTTTTTTTTTAGCTCACCTGAGCTGAAAGCTTAAGTGAGCTTTTCTGATCACCCGTTGTCCGTCGTCCGTCCGTCTGTAAACTTTTCACATTTTCAACTTCTTCTCAAGAACCACTGGGCCAATTTTAACCAAACTTAGTATAAAGTATCCTTGGATGAAAGGGAGTTTAAATTGTTAAAATGAAGGGCCAAGTCCCCTTACAAGGGGAGATAATTAAGAAAAGACAAAAATAGGGTGGGGTCATTAAAAAATCTTATTCTCAAGAACCACTGGGCCAAAAAAGCTGAAACTTATGTGGAAGCATCCTGGGATAGTGTAGATTTTAATTTGTTAAAATCATGACCCCCGGGGGTAGGGCGGGGCCACAATAGGGAATCCAATTCTTAAATTATTTATAGTCTTTACTTCTCTTAGCCAGCTTCATTTGCATGTGATCAGCCAAGATTTTGATAGTCCCTGCCTGAAGAACAAGAAACACTGGAATTCCTTCACCACAGAATATTTTGTTGACTCAGAAGGTATTCATATTAAAATACCATACTTTTTCAAACATACATACGTGTATATAATGGTTTGAACATTTCTGTATGATACAAGTTTATGGTTGAACTTCGATATCTCGAACACACTGATAGCTTGATTACCATAGATATGTTGTAGTGATTTGGAAATCCCACAACTTTTTTTAATGTATTTGAACCTAGATATTGTGAATTCTTGAATACCTTGAGGTTTCTTTTTGTTCCCATTGAATTCAAGATAACAAGGTTTGACTTTACATAAACAAAAATACAAAAAAAGAATGGTTTAATAGCTAGATTTATTTGTTTATTGTAAATTTTAGAAATTATAAAAGAACTTGAGAAGAATGGGAAGGTTGTTAAAGATGTTGCCTCTTCACAGGAACTGTTAAAGAAAGATCTCAGGTATAGTGCAATAGTAGGAAGATGAAGCAATTAATGACTTGATTATGGTCAGAGGTGATTCAAGAACTTCTCAGAGGGACTTAATGTTTTAGGTTGAATCATGATAAATTGTTAAGTATTGTACAATGTATTGTTGTTTCATAAGTTTCCATAATTAAATACCAACATTATGTCTAGTTTACACACATGTACATGTAATTCAGTTCATATATGTCATATTATGTATATTTTCATACGACAAAACAATTATTGACAGGGTTTTCAGGAAAATTTGTTTAAATTAGCCCCCTCAGAATGAAAATATTGCCCTTTGCTCCATGTTGGGCAATATTTCATCCCTTGGGGGCTTACATAATCAATGTTACCCCCAACCCAGCCAACATTTCTATATTATCTTGTTATCTTTATGATAAAATTATGTTGCATGTTTTTTAATATATATATATATATATGATTAATTCATCTTTTGATTAAATATATGCACATTAATATCTAGTCCCAGGGTAGCACGTTACTAACAGATACAAAATAATGTCATAAAAAATATTAAAAGTTAATATAAAAATTAAAAAAACAGCATTTTAGACCTCATTCCTAAAAGGCCATCCTTTACTTGTTACCAGTATTATCAGAAAACTGTCTATTTTTTAGCAACTGTCCCCAACCCAACATTTCATCTTTCAAGTTCCAAAACAGAATGTCATCTAATTTGATGCTTCAAAATGATTCTGACCTTGAAGAAAATAAAGCCATCATATTATTCAATTATTAAAAAATTATATAATAAAAAACGTATGTCACCAGATGTACATATACTTTCCATGCTTCTAGTAGAATGTATTTTTGATTTTTTTTAGATGCCATGTGTGTAAAAAAGAGATGAAAACAATTCCAGCACTGAAAACACACATCAAAGAACACAGTTACAAGAAAAGCTGACAGATAATCTTGAATCACATCTAGCATGAGAAACCCTTCATATTATACAACAGCTTGATGATTGGAAGTAACATTATACAGTATTCCTGATGCATGAGATGGAATGTTGAACAAATGACACCATTAAATTTGTGCGTTTATGTCCAATATCTGCAAACCAGGGTTGTGCTGGCTGGTCACTGTAATTTATTTTTGTTTTGAATTCCATTTTTCTATCTACATAGGTTAATGATTATTTATTGTCCTCAGTACAAGCAAAACGATCTACTTCCTTCAGTTTGTCTATATAGCAATCTAAAACCTAAAACCATGTAAATGTCTGTAACCATGTAAATGTTATTGACTTTGAGATGCAAAACCTGATAGTGTTCAATTTGACACAGAAGATCTAAAGAGTATTTTGTAACCATGGCCATATATAATATGCTTACTTCTGTTTGAGATAATTGGACACTATAAGTATATATGTTGTCCTTTAAATCTGTTAAATAATGACATCAATTTTTTTACAGCAATAATTAGGGCCCCGCAAGGATTTGCGGATGCCATATAGTAATCACTCTGTTTGTCTGTCTGTCTGTCTGTGTGTCCGTCTGTCAATCTTCCGTCCAAAAATTTTCTGTTTTTTTTCTAATAACTTTTTTTTAGGGTTGACCAATTAACTTCAAATTTTGTATGTTGGTTGAAAAGGCAGTAAGACATATTTTGATGCTAAGTTTGGTTCTCTATTTCATCCGGTTTGGAGCTGGGGTGGTGGGGTAGATTCCTTAACTTTATATAAGAGTGAATGGGCAAAGAGAGATAACTGCTGAGAATGTTCTTATTGTAAACTAGGAAAGGTTGCAATGAGTCTCTTGGGATGAATTAACTTTCCTCTTGAAGAAAATCCAAAGCATTTATCTTTATCTGCCACATTGAGATTAATTAACACTTCTGTCTGCAAATGAAGTTTGTTTTGAAATTAAGGTCAATTCTGAATGATATTTACATTCTCTGAAATGTGGATTTAAATAATGTTCATACTTTATTTTGGTAAAATACACAATGAGTTATGATTTTATTGAATTCTAAAAACAAGATATAGATAAAGATATCTTTCTTTCTTTCTTTTTTTCTGCCTTATGTAAATTCAAGCATACTACTTATTTTAACAGGTATTCAGATAATAACCTCATTCTATCATTGCTGAAAAAGTTCTTATTGTTAACTTAGAAGAAAATGTTGAGAGAGCAGTATAATTAATCCCCTGAAGTTTGAATTTCTTGCTGCTTGCAGAAAATTTTAGAGGGTTATCTCTCTGTCACTTTAAGTTTGATTAACACCTTTATCTGCAACTGATGTTTGTTTTGAATTTAAGGTCAAGCCTTGGTGATATTTGTGTTCACTGAAGGCTGGCATTTTAGAAAACACATGCTTCATTCTTCTTTAAATATACATTTTATTGAGTTATTATAGATATGATGTTTTTTACTGTGTTATGTAAGTACAAGGAAACTATTTACATGTTGTTGGATATTTAGCAAATGCTGTTGCTTATTCTTCTTTATATTTTTTTAAATTTTTGTAATCAAGTAAAATTCTCATCCCTTAATCTGCACCCTTATATTTCTACCCCTCGGTGGGGCCCTTGCTGACTGGTCAGATTTCTAGTTTATGTTAGGATCTAATTTCTTGTGGCCATATATATACTAGCATTTTATTCCAATCAATAGGGACAAGTGAAGTATTTGTTGGAGCCTTAGAAGCATAGTGTTAATCAAACATGGTACTTATCTAACATAGACTATGTCAAAAAAAAGTGTTAAGCAAATATATGAATAGTATGTTCTCTTTTGTATAATATGACACTATAAATTGTGAAAGGTTACTTTTGTAACATCTGTTAATGATGGTTTGATTTATAATACCTTCTCTTATGGTAATTTGTTCAATGTAATGTTTAATGTAATGCATAATTGATTTTAGGGCTAGCCAGTTTATCATCCGGCAGCCCTAAGGCCGTGGCCTCGTTCGCTAACAACAAAAAATAAATCTTACTTAACTTTACGTTTGCCTTCATTGCCTATAGTAATACCTTCTCTTATGGTAATTTGTTCAAAAGTATACTGAAAAAAACATGAGTGCAACTCAATTTGTTGTTATTATAATTTTTTGCTTCTTGTTTATAAGGAATAATATTTTGTAGAATAGAATTGTGTATGTAATTTATTGTTCGAGTATGTTTTGTTTATATTTTTTCACAGATAAAATGTTTCTATCAGAGAAGTCTGAATTTTGTAATAAAATCAATCTTGATCTTGATCAAAGTGTATATTCTGCATGGACCAATTCTTGAAGGTATAAGGTTTCATAAAATTACAGGTTTCAAAAACTAAAAAATATACTTTTATGGAAAAGAAAAATGTGTATGGACCAAGAGGAGAATATTGTTTAGCTTCTTCTTTCTTACTATACATGTGCGCAGAAAAATTGAAGAGTTTCCATTTTTTCGAGTCCCAAAGAGTGAAATGTCGGTGGAATTTGATACAATCTTCAAACAGAACATATTCCTTACTTTGACACTCTCCAGATAAAATGTTTACAAAGTTGCGTGACTTGCCGTGGACAACAAAAACAATGCGGTGGATACAATCTTTGTCTTTCTGACACTGTCGTTGATTGTCTTAACATTTAACAATGTAGTTTAGTTTGTTGAAACTTTGCAAATATTTTGTTATAAAATTTTCGATTTATTATTCAAATATCATAAAAGAAACACATGATTTTACTCATTATGTCTCTTTAATATGAAAAATTACTCGGTAACTACCTCTATTAGTCTAACAAAGTTTGACATATTGAAAGGATAATGTCAGCAACAAGAAAAGGTATCCACTTTGAAATCATCTCTTGTACGATTGTTGTATGACTTGTGAAAAAAAAGAGAAAGTCTGAAAAGCTTCAACTTTTCTTTTAATGAGTGCACATGAAATGATTAATATTAAATTGTTTCAGTCACTTTTTAAACAGATTTATTGAATTACTTATGAATTTATGGGATCTTGCAAGCAGACAAACAAATAGACATAGGTAAAACTACTTGGCTAATACTGGTATGTTCTCCGATAAGAACTGCGAACGATAATGTTGTTCTCCCGCCTACCTCAAAGTCAATTTTCAGAAGTTAATACTTTTGAATGATTTTTCATATCTACATAGATATTTATATGAATTTTCATAAAACATTACTTCTTTGGGAAAACAAAGAGAGATAACTCTATAATTTTGGTAAAACTTGTGTTTTTCACTATAGAAATCAACGGAAAACGGAAATATTTTTAAAACATCCCCCCCCCCCGTGAAACAAAAATTCCTTTTTACAGGTAATATGGACTGTCATTTCACAATTTCATACCAAAGCTTTTTGTGTTTTACGGGGGGGGGGAACATATGTTTACAGACAAAAAACCACAAAAATGCTTATTTTTTCAACAATTTCAAAGGGGTTTACAACTAAAACATTGTATTTTATTAATAATATATGTTTAATTTTATATGAGTTAAACATAAGAAAAGATTTAAGGAACCTTTATTCATTTCCAAGAATATTTTAAAATGTGGTGATGCTTTAAAGCCCGATTTCAATGAAAAATATCGTCTACCCCCCTTATTTAAAGAGCTGGAATTAGGGGTAAATAACTATTTAACACTGGTATTAAAATTATCAGTCAATTACCATTAAACTGTTCTTTGCATTCAACAAAGATTTTATGGCCAAATTGCCATTAGTATTGAATTAAATGGGTGTAAAATGTAGGCGGGAATCGAAAGTTAGCGTGCTTAGTTCTTTGTACGTTTAAAGCATCTGTATATATTTTTTAGGTAGAGTGTCTATTATAGTAACCGGTCACTAATATTGCATTTAGTCGTGATTACTTAATGCCATTAACTTTTAATCAGTATGAAGAAATCTTTAAAGAAAATGCATTTGCTATATACCTTAGGTATATTTTACCTTTTAAAGGGATTTGAAAGTCATCCTTTGGTAGAAACTATAAAATGAGCCTCTGTTCAGGTGTCAAAAGTGTGTTAATTTGTTTCAATCTCTATGATTCGAAGATATTTTATTCTTCTTCCATTAACTTTTTTTTCCAGTTACACTTTTCGTGTAAAGGAAAATACCATGATCAATAGAATATAGAATTAGTAGCCTTTACATTACTTTATTTCAATGTATAAATTATTACGTGATTTTAAGGAAATAGACTAGCTATTAAACATTTTTGCCACATAAAGACGTTTCTTGCCGGTTTATTCCTGTTTGAAGGGCCTTAAACTGGTTAAAACCCTTTTTAGAATTACTTTCAATCAATCTTTGGTACATTCATTAACATTTGACACTATATTTTCTTTCACTTATAATATGTTATGAATACAAGCGAACGGGCACGATATGGAACTGATATGAATAGCTTAAAATGATTATTGCTTAAACTGCAGAATATAGACGAAATTATTTGACAGGATTAGCATCTTTTAATCGCTTTGCTCTATAGGGACCTGTACAGACTTTTAAGATATATAAATATCATATCGTGAAATTCTTCATCTTTTTAATATAAAGTAGATTTTGACATTTTTATGCAAGAAGCTATATATTTACATACACCTAACCCGTTTCATTTTGTAATTTTTAAAAATCATTTAAAATAACGTGCAGACTAGTCATTAATATGAAATTTAATCTGTAGAAAAAAATTGTCTTTCAATTGTAAATTAGATGTTTGCCAATAAAATAAAATGAATACCTTGGGATGGTTGTGAAATGTGATTTTTAATAACATTATCTTTGTCAAAGAACTTTATACATGAAAAATTTAAAGATAAATATAATCTTCAAAATCAGACATAAATATAATCTTCAAAATCAAACATATTAAATATAATCTTCAAAATCACACATAAATATAATCTTCAAAATCAAACATAAATTTTATATAATCTTCAAAATCAGAACACTCTGTGGAATTTTCTTAATTAATTTATTAAACAATGCTGGTTTAGTGATTTCATTAAAAGTTTTTAAAAGAGATTAGAACAAAATGTTTACATGCCAACTTTCAGGGATAAAAATCAGGATGAATGTACATACTAGCCTCTAATTGAAATATTCGTTTTAAAAATACTGAATTTCACTTGTCACAGGTTTGATTTTTCAATAGAAAAATGAATTTGCCACTTTTGTTTTTGTAAATAAAATTAAAGATTAATTTCACACACAAAAAAATCATTGAATCACATACATGTTCTAGATAAGCATATTGAAGTACTATTACACGTATCTAATATTCTTAAATTTGAACAACATTTTACAATTAGCAAACATCACTTGTAAATTATAGGAATGATATATATGTATATTTTAGAGGGTTGACTCACTTAATTAACTTAACTTTGTAACTATTTTCTTTTCTTTTCTTTTTTTTTTTCACGGAAGCATTACTGTTATTTTTTTTTTTAAATCTTCTTCTCACTGTATATGCAGTTTATTAGCAGTAATGATTGTCTCGTCTTGGCTTGTGTGTCTCTATTTAAGGATGAAGTTAGTGTTTTATTATAATTATCTGATTTAAATTAAGCAGTATTTACTACCAGTGTCTGGCATTTCACAACCCTTATTCTTCAGGGAAATGAAATTTTCGTGCAGTGCAGATCATAATATCTGCATATTACTTAATTACCAATGGAAAAAGGACATTTATAATTCAAAGAATTGTAATGGATATAGAAAGAGTTTAAGTATGAATATCACGCTTTTGTCCAAACTAAAGAAATTCACTAAAATATAGTCCGCATAATAAAGGTGCTTGCTTAGAAAAAATATTATGATGCATATCATTTGAGAAAAAATTTCATATTTAATAAATTTTTACGTTTAGTTACTGTAAAGATTTTAAATGCAAGCTCTGCATTTCTGTAAGTTGTATTGCATTCTAGAAGTATTTGGAGTTGTATATGGTAGGCGTCAAGAAAAGTTATAAATGCACAGATCTGTGAAATTTACAGCATGATAGAAGAGCTTTACAATTCTTGATGTAAAAGGTCTGTCCAAAAAGTTCGTGGTTACATGCTATAATTGGTTTTTTTTTTTTTACATAAATTAAACTGTCAAGTGTGTGCGATAATATATACTAAAAATAGACCACGATTGAGTGAATATTAGAAAATAAGAACAATTCACAAAAAATTACGAATGTTATCAGTATAAATATTTTGTATGTATTCTAGATGCACAAATTCACAATAACGTCATGATTTTCATCACAAAACAGTGGTCTTCCACTTCTTGCAGCGTTTACACTGAGAGCACTGCAAAAAGTGTTTTATCAATTTTAAAGTTACATATTAATTAGTCAAAATCAAGTGATTCGTTTTAAGACGTGTTTGATAAAGCGAAAAAAAATTATGAAAAATATGAGTAAAGCTAAGCTTTGACAAACTCAAATGCGCTGTAAAGCAAGAAAAACTGCAAAATACAAGTGCAAGAAATTGTCATATAATTATATATATATATATATTATATATATATATATATATATATATATATATATATATATATATATATATTTGATATACCGTATCGTTCTTATCGTCCATGTCAAGGTCACGCGTATGTATCATATAAAAACTCTATTTTTGTCAATTTTCCTGTTTCTGCGGTACGTTTTCGCTTTAATACGTATATACCATGAAGAGAAAATATTTTTTTTAAAAATCATATATAGCAATACACAACAGTTTAGCATACTTTGTATATACAAGGCGCACGGCCATATTCATAATAATTAACGTCATGAATGCGAAATTTCATATTTTCATCTCATAACAGTAATCTTAACTTGCACTTCTCACAAGTCTCCCAATTAGTACAAACCCTTTGAAAACCGTTAATGCAACTTGTAAATCAATGGACAAGAAAATATTTCTTTTATTTCCTGATTCAATTATTTTTGTGGTGTCTAATGGCATTTTGACCAAATCAACACATAATTTCATGATGCCTTCA